ACGAGGTAGGGCCTGCAGGCCCTCGTTTTTCAGCATCCAGGCTGAAATGAACGGGGCCTGTAAGCCCTAAGTTTTAGGCTTTTAGGCTGAATGTCTGGGACGGGCCCTGCAGGGCCCGTGTGGCTACGCAGTATGCCACACCCCCCCCTCCTTGAAGAACCGAGCTTACCTGCGAGGGCAAAGCTGTCTGTCTGAGGGAGGGACCACAGTCCGGGTGGGTGGGGCTAGTCGTGAAGCTTACTGAGCTAGCCTGCGCTTTTCATAATGCGCGTAGATCAGTGGTGCGGATGCTTTCAAATCTGCGCCTGATATACACCGAGTGTCGTCGCGATCGCATGCKTTGAATGTGACTTTATACTGCCGCGGCTTGCTGCCGTACTTGCGATCGGAGATGACGCGGTCAACTTCCTGATGGCCATCCATAGAAGGAGGGTCCTGCGATCGTCGGTCCGGAAAGTCGTCGCTCTTGGCTGGCGTGTAAGTTGCCAGCTTCGAGGCATGGAAGACCGGATGGACCGTCAGATGCTTTGGAATGTTGATCACAAATGAAGGGCCATCAGGCTCATCGCCCGCGGCTGCTGTCACAGACCAAGGTCCAAACCACTTGGGAAGCAGTTTGCGTGAAACATCCTGTTCCAGTGCAAACTCTTCCGCGGAGACCCAAACCAGATCACMGACGCGGATGGAACATGGTACGCGACGCCTGTTGGCTTGCTGCTGCATGCGGACTTGAGCCTTTTGCATATTTGCGCGGGCTTGAGTCAGCAATTCCCTGTACTTCCGGATGGAAGAGGGAGAGCAGGCAGCGTCAATGTCGGCTGGTCGAGGGAGGAGAAGGTCGGCGAAGATCCGGCCTTTCCGTCCACCGTGGTGCAACTCGAATGGAGTCACGCCGATCGCCGAATGCACCGAAGTGTTGTAGGCGAACTCGATGTCAGGGAGGCGGTCAACCCAATCTTTCTGGTCCGGACGGATGAGCGTACGAAGCATTATTTGAGCGGTCTGATGTGCCCGCTCCGTCTGCCCGTCTGTCTGAGGGTGTCGAGCCGAATTTGGTTTCATTGTTGTGCCGGACTCCTGCATGAGAGCAGTCCAAAATGCCGACATGAAACGAGTGTCGCGGTAGCTGACAATGTCTTCTGGTACACCGTGGCCACAAATCCAACCAGTGTGCAGGAGGCGTGCCAGCTCGGGAGCCTGGAGTAGTACTTGCAAGGGAGAAAACGCGCATACTTACTCAATCGGTCCACAACCGTGAGGATGCCGTCGTGCACGAGCCGGTCGCGAGGGAACGGACCGGTGACGTCCATGGCAATGGAGAGACCGGGTTCCCATGGGATAGGCATCGGGTGTAACTCGCCGTAGGGATTGCGGTTGCGGGGCTTGCTGCGTCGGCAAACTTCGCAAGAGTCGCAATACCGAGTGACATCGGTAATGAGGTCGGGCCATCGGAATCGCTGTTGAAGCCGTGCAATAGTGCGGTTGACTCCGAAATGGCCGGCGAGTCGTGAATCATGGTACTCGCCGAGGAGGCGAGTCCGARGACGACGGTCGCGTGGGACACATAGTAAGTCCTTGCCTCTCAAGTGGAGGAGCAAGTACCCGTCGGCAATGCGGTAATGGCTGGTCGGCGGGTGATCCGAAGATAGCTCTGCATAGAGCGTGCCGAAGTCCGGATCAGACTGATATGCCCGGATGAAGTGTCGCTGAAGCTCCTCGTCGAATGCGAAGGCATGATGTGTCATAGCGCAAAGATTAGGTCTTCGCGAGAGTGCATCTGCTGCGCGATTGGAGAGGCCGGGGACATGCTTTGGTGTGAAGTCAAATTGGTCGATGAAGTACATCCATCGTCCGGTCGTGCTGCTCACCGTGTCCTGCGTCTTGTAGTAGGTCAATGGATTGTTGTCTGTGATCCATGTGAACCTACGACGCCCAAGGAGGAAGT